AGTCTCTGGGGACCATGCCTCTCAGAGCGTACCCATCGCAACCATGCAAAACAGTGTCTCATCTCCAGAAACCTCATGTGCTTGCCATAACCTTTCCTACATGGCTTGTGCCAAGAGCTGTTAGCAGAATTAGCAGGAACATACATACCAGCAGTATTTTGTTTATGTTAGGAAGATTGTAAGTGTCCTCTCATCTGATTGCCGCTGGGGAGGCTGTGACGACTGCACCTGTCATGTCAGTAGCTTGTATGAGGGATTGATTTAACGGGGAACTCTTTAAGTCTTTTAAAGCCTAGCTTAGGCTTTTTGTTTTTAAATATTATTAACAACCATTTTAATCTTTTCTCCCTCCCTGCTCGCTCTGGCCCCGCTCCCATTTTAATCTTTGATTATATTCTCCTTCTTGATGTTTAAGGATTGTGCAAGTGACCTGAATTGATCACATTTTAAAAGTTGCCAAGGCTGCTAGAAAGTCCAGTCCTTGGGAGTCATTGGCTTGGCAGGAGCCTCTGGCTCTTTTAGTCTTTTTTTTTAAATTTATTTATCAGTTACATCATCTGGTGGAGATGAGTCAAGGCCATATTAGCAGGATCTTCGCTGGAAAGCACTGAGGCATGGCTCTCTGTGTTAGCTCTCCTCTTTGCAGAATGTGACTAGTTAGAGTCTAATTTTTAGGGTCTCTGTGATATTTTGAACAAGAGGACAGCTGAACCAAAGAGCTGCAGAAGCCTTTGAAAGATGCTGGATAGTTCCAGCATCTTAGTTGATCTTGGAGTGTAAGAGTTAAAAATATTGTCCCGTTAGACTTTTTGTCCACATAGGTATAAGCCTCTAAATGTGGTCATTGAACACCCAGAAGATTAGTTACCAGTTTGGTATTTCTAACTTTTATATCTTTAGATAAAAGATAAATAATACCCAAACATTTAAAAAATAAATCTTGATAGGGCATGCAATTTTGTTCTTTCGATATGTTACCAACATCAGATGAATAACTTACCAGAAGTTTGTTAATTTACAAAGAAATTCAGTTGAAGTTAATATTAAAAAATTCAATAACCTGCAATATGTATTTGATAACATATATTATTCCTTAGTGTCATTTTTCACATCCTTTCTAGAAGAGTCACATCACCAACCCTTCCTTTTACAGCCTTTGTATGACTTTTTCAGACATTCTGCCCTTGGTAAGACTTCCAAGCTTTATCTTTTCCATTCTAGAAAAAAAAAAACCAAAAAACCTAGCAATATAGAAATCATATATATTTTACTTAAAACATCTTCACTTTTACATCTTTTAAATATTTTTCTTCTTGTTAGTTTCCTCTTTTTTCCTTAACATCACAAGAAATAGCAACATTAACAATTAAAAAACAAGCAAAAACAAACAAACAAAAACAAACAAACAAAAAAAGTTTGCCAACTTATTTAGCAACTTGCTGTTGAGCTCAGTGTGTTGGACCCAAAACATTTAGTAAAAGTTGACATAACTGTGTAGCAAAGAAATGAGGGGAAGAACAGGCTGTCTCAGCTAGAATGAAGCAGGTCACAGGAAAATGAGAAGCTGGTGTAGCCAGGACAGCAAATGTTGCTATCTAGATCTGTGTGAGTTATCCCAGCTTTTAGGTCCTTGGGTTTTTTAGTCCTTCTGGCTGATGGTGCAGTAGACCATAAAAGGTCAGTAGGGAGGAGGAAGCGTGCTCAGGGTCTATCCATGCTGTTCTTTTTTATTAAAGTTATTGTGATTGAATGGTGTTATGAAAGAGGATAGATTCCTATTATCATACCTTCCATGTAGATAAGTTTAAGAATGTGAAAAAGATAGCTAAGGGGTGAATATTTGGGTTGGCAAAATTGAGGAGAGTTTTAGTACGTTAAGTGTACCTGGAAAACAGGAGAGAGAGCAGACAAAAGTTTTTGTAAGCCTTAGTTTACCTTGTAGGAAATGAGTGAACTCAGAGATTCTAGTGCCTTGGGAAATCAGGGCAATGAGCTTCCATCCTGGCCTGCTAGGGGGCCCCTAACCCAGTTCTGAGAATTTTGGCACAGTGAGAAGTAAACAGGAGTTCCAGAGAACCCAGAGACTTATGGTGAGGGGTGGGGGTGGGGATGGGGATGGGGGGGGTAGAAAAGACGACACAGGACATGGATGGTGGACAGCCAGCCAGCCAGAAGCAGAAGCTCTGGTAAGAAGAGGAGCCCAGAAAGGAGATGCCAGCAATAGGGAAGGCCTGCAGGAGTCACTAAAATCCCAACAAAATGTAAGTTTGGGGAGAGAAAGGGGGTGGTAAGGGTGGGGAGAAAGGAAGCTGCAGGTAAATTAGGCCAGAGCACAACCCTTGGATTGAGGTAAAGAAAAGAATTAATGACAGAACATGCCAGAGGAGGACGTATTCATATGATTTGTGGCTTGTTTGGTGGGTATTTTTTGGGGGGGGTTGTTTTTTTGCTTTTTGTTTTTTAATTTTAGAGGAGGTTGTGAAGAAAGGCATCAGAGAGTTAACAAAGGTTTGGTTATGGTTGTTATAAATCTCTCTAGTTGATCTCTTCAAGCAGTTCTGAGTTTTGTCACAAGTGTATTAAATCACATAAAGAAGGGAGTATAAGAACGGATATTAGAGTGGCTAATGTTGCCCACAATAAGTTTGGCTTTGGACTCCAGGAGTTTTATCTCTGTATTCATTGAAGTTTTGGCAATACAAATGTACCTCACTGAACTTTTTACATGCATATAGTATAGAAATATTACATTTGGTGTTGGAATAGTAAAACCAGAGTGAGTTTTAAAGAAGCAAAGATAGCAGATGAAGGAGTACTCAGTTTAGACTAGAATTATCAGAACCGGGACACGAAGTCGGGGGAAGTGGAGCCGGAGCCTACAAAGATGCCCTGGAATTCAGACTCAGGAGACCAGCATTGGGGTCCAGATATAACTTTTACTATTCAGTACAGTAACTTATATACAACTTTTCAGCCAAGAAGGGTGTAGTTACATAATCAAGGGCCAAATGGGGCATCACACGCTGTCGGTTGAATCTAATTTGCCTGCTCGTTGCTCTGTAGGGAAGGGGGTCGACTGTCCAGGGGGATATCCGTGGAGACAGAGGAAGTGTCATTGCTCTGGGCTCCTGCCTTTGTTTTGTATCTCTGGTTTGCAGGGAGCCATTTCAGATCCCTGCCTTGTATGGTTGGCTCAAGGTTCCGAGAGCGTTTGGCTCCCCATACCACCTTTTCCTCCACTAGATTTACTCCCACATCCCCCACACAGAATAATTTAAACATAGGTAACCCAAAGTGGTTTAAGTAGGGCAGGTGGCCTGTGTAGACAAACAATTACAACAGAAGGGACCTAGTACTGTCTTTACTTGAATCTCATCAGAATCAAGATTAGCATTATTTTTATACTAAAAATTATCTAATAAAAAAGTAAACATCTTTTACATTTAGCAGGACTTAGAAAATACAGCACATCCCCTCTGGGCAGGAGGGAATCTTTTCAGATTAATGTAGATTGTTTTTACTTTTTAGGAACTTACTGTGGAACGTAATAATTTATTAGTGACAGTATCCTATTTATTAATCCAGAGAAGTGAAGTTCATAGGCACAATGAAATTTTGTATGATGTGCCACACTTATGAATAGATCTAAGGTTTTCTCCACTAACATAAATTCCATCATTATCATGTGGTTTTTCAGGAATGTCCCAAGTATGGTATTAATCCTTATTTGTTACAGAATCTTTAGTGCTCAGGAAGGCTTAACCCCAAATGAACATATTGACAGCATTTAGAGAAAGCAGACCACAGGTTTTAAGTATCTTATTTATTACAAGGATCAAAGAAGGTTAATATTAAGAAAGCCTATCAATAGAGAATCAGGCATCAGTTTTCCAGCAATGTAACAGAATTTTGACTTTAGGAATTATAGTTAAGCTAGAACTATAATAGTTTAATTAATTTTTATACAAATATCTTTTTTCATTTATTTATTTTTATTTATTTTTTTAAATCAAATCGTAATTTTTACTTATTCACACAGGCGTTATAAACACAAAAAGGCAGGACATGGGGAAAGGGATGACACTGGAGCGTGGATGTTCAGGGGGAATACAGATATCTTTCAGAACAGGGTATCGGCTGGGTGAAGGTTCAGGGGACAGGTCACTATGACTCTGCCTATGATTCACTTGTCCTTATAAGTTGGTACTATCTGCCAAGGCTACCTATTTACAAGGTCTACGACTACTCAGGCTGGTAAATTTCCACAAAAGCTGCCTGTTTACAATAGCTTATAGCCATGTGTTTCAATGTTTTTTTCATAGAGACCCAAGACTTGGTGTTAGTAAACATGTATGACAGGCCTATTGCTGATTTTAGGCCTATGGCTGATTTTAGGTCTTCAGTGTATAAGCAGGGCTGCCCCTGACATCTCCTCCTTTCTCTAAGTATAGAAGGGCTGGGGCAATTCTAAACTTGCGAAGGCGGAGATAGAGGCCTGACCTCCAGTAATTGAAGGGGACTTTGTAATGGCTCTGGTCCCCCTGTCGTTGTCCAGTGAGGCATGAGGGCCATACCCGTTCCGATGTCTTTTTCCTGGAGAGGGGATACTTTTGACCTCAACCCTTATGCAGTCAGGCTTATACAAATATCTTAATGTCAAATTTATTTAGTTACTTAAAAAAAACATTTACTTTAGCTTCATGATTATTATTGTTTTGCTTGCACACACATCTGTGTACCACTTGCCTGACTGCTGCCCGCTGTGTCAAAAAGATGGTACTAGACCCCAGGAACTAGAATCACAGATGATCGTAAGTGGCCATGTGGGAATCAGACCTAGGTCCACAGGAAGAGTAGCCCACCTCTGTTCTTAACTGTTCACCCACCTCTTTAGCCTGTATTAAATAGTTTAAACAAGCTATGTACTTATAATTTCTTTAGTTTTGATTTCATGGCTTTTATGTTTAATTTTGCATATAAAAATTTTGAAACCATTAACATTTTGAATTGTAACTTACTAAGCTTTATTTGAAACACAGAAAACATGAATGGTTATATTCTGAATATCTAATAGTTTTAAGTACGGGCAAGGCAGGGTAATCAACTTAAATATACTGTTAAAGAGAACTGTATATCTTTAAGGAGGTTATAGTTTTAGAATTAGGGGGATGGGATTGGGGATTTAGCTCAGTGGTAGAGTGCTTGCCTAGTAAGCACAAGGTCCTGGGTTCAGTCCTCAGCTCTGAAAAAAAAAAAGACAAAGTAACAAAATTAGGGGGCTGGAGAGACAGCTCGGTGGTGAAGAATACCAATTACTCTTACAGAAGACTTAGGTTTAATTCCTAGCACTCACATGGGTGTTTACAACCATCCAGAATTCCAGTTTCATGTGATCTGACCCTCTCTTCTGGCCTCTGTAGGCGTAAGACACAAACACTTGTGCAAATAATAAAATAAAAAATTAAAATACCTTAAAGTGTTTATATATAGACATATGTCCCTATATATAACTTTATGTACACATCTTAAAAATAACAGAAATGGTATTTTATATAGTTTTATAGCACATGACTCCTGTTCCAGGGGGGACAGCACTATCTTCTAGACTCAGTGGGCACCAGGTGGGCGAGTGTTGCACAGATATATGTGTGCAGGTAAAACACCAATAATCAAGAAGTTAAAGTAATTGTTTCTTTTACTTTGTGTACTTTATGGAGTGACCATAGGCCTTTTAGCTTTTAGAATGAGTAAGGAAGACATAAGACAGCAGGCCAGTACGTTGAGATAACATATAATAAATTATGTTGAACCACTGGGGAGGGTAAAGGATAAAGTGTAGCTTTTTATCTGGTAGGCAGTGTGGACTTTGCAAGAGTTCTGTTATAAAAGCTCTATATGGCTGGGAGCCAGTTGCTCAGTTTATTTGCCTCTTCCATCTCTAGAAGACTTTGTCATTTGTGTTTTGGCTGAGAGTTGCCCTGCAGGGGTGTGGGGCAGGAGGGCAGGGTAAGGTTGGAGTTTGGGATCTTAGGTATGTGGCTTTTGGAGGTAGGGAGGGGGAGAGAAGAGGCAAGGGTAAGGGTTTTACAGACTAGAGAAGCAGTTTAGAAATCAGAAGATTGAACGTAGAGTTAGCTTTTTCAAAATGCAACTCATGGAGGGATGTTGCCCAGGTCCAGGCCAGGCACTCACGTGAAAGGAAGTGGGCTAGGGGAAGGGAATAGGGAGCAGACAGAAATGTGTGTTTTCCACAGAGAAGTTCTCAGAGGGGAGGAGGGTATGGGTAGTGACAGTGTAAAGATAGGAAACCTGAATGTGACTACCACGGAGAAGCTGACACTGAGGCTTTCTGAGGTGCTCTTGATGGACCATCAGAGAGAAACAGCTTCCAGAGGAGGGGAGAAAGTTTCGAGACCCACCTAGAGTTGAGTCACTCAGTGGTGGTTGGTGGAGAGCAACACTGATGGTGTTCTTTGTTGGAGTCGCTCAAAGCGGGCAGGACATACTAAAGCTGGGAAGGAAAAGGAGCAGAAGGAAATGCCCTTTGGATAACCCCACCCCTGCTTCCTGTGCAGACCAAACGTACGGTTGGTAGGAGGGGAACAGACGCAGGGACCTACCAATCTTATCGGGGAGTAAAATCTGCAGGAGTGCCGAGTGTGAGAATCAGAGCCTGCTGCCTGCTTACAGGCTGGATATTGGTAGGGCTGAGACCCAGCATGAAGTGTGCATGAGTTAGGGGCTATGAGTTAAAGAACACAGGTAATGGATGATGTCCTTTGCGGGCACAGGATTTAACTAGGGTGAAGAGGGGAGGACCAAGAACTCAGGAAGACGTGTTAGTTTCAGAAATGCAAATCACTGTGGTTTTAGGATCCACCATCATGTAAACAAAATGGAAGGGCTTCACTCAATGGCATGGCACCAGCTAATGTAAAAGAATAGTATATTCTTCTGTATAGGCAATCTTCACAGCAGATGTTGTTAATGACACTGGAATTTCTATTTTGTAGCTGCTGAGAGGCTTCAAACAGATTCTGAGCTGAGAGGCTCGCTCTTTTTCCCATGTCCCCACAATTTTCCCTTTCTGTCCTGCCTTAGAAGGTCGGGTCAGCAAGGACTAAGAGGGAGTGAGATGCTGGGGATTGGGAAGATGATAATGTCACTATCTTTGTGGTCACAGCTAGTGCCAACAGAATAGACTGGGTCACTTATTTTTGAGCCAATGAAAAGAGCCAGATCAATATTGAAAAGCATAAAAAGATCTACTCAATGTGGCTTCATTGGGAAGATAGAGAAAGAGACAGTTTTCCCTCCCTGACCAGAGTCCCAGTGTGGGGTTTCAGTTTGTGTGGAAGGCCAGAGCTACGTAGCTCTTAGCGGTTCTGGTCAAGTGTGGTCCTGCTCATCATTGGCTGAGCATCATTTTGGCAGTGCTCCTACAAGATGGTCTGAGAAGCTGCAAATCTTCTGGGAGAAAAGTTTCCATTCTGGCTAGTCCAGAGTTTAGGATTTCTGTCTCTTCAATATGAGATTCCTGAGGGAAATTCAAATTCCTTGGGGGTCCATTGTTTGAATAGTTTGATAGTCCAAGTGGCAGACACAGTTTCTTTGGGGTGTCTTCATTCCTTCCAGGTTAGTTGCATTTCTGTTTAACATCTAAATCTTGAGGTGGATGAGAAATGTTTATGTCTGGAACAAATATAAGCAGAATACACTCAGTGTCGACTATCGATATCGATATTGAGTTTTCAGTAACCAATTAACTTTCAGTGACTTTTGGAAGGCTGTCACAAGGGATTCTATTTTGTTGGTTTAAGACATGGTCTTGCCACCAAGATTAGGTTGGCCTCAAACTCAAAACCGTCCATCGTCAGCTTCCCAAGTGTGGGAATTACAGGCACATTCTAGCATGCTCACTGTGACCTCATTCCAATCCTGACTCTTTCCCATCCTGCCCCGTCTCTCCTTTGAACAATATTTTCTAAAGAAGTTGCTGATTAACTATCTAGTGGATCATTCTCTGTTGTGTTTGCTAAGGAGAGCAGTCATATAAACACAAAGCCAGGAAAAGGTTAGTGAACACTGACCATTAGGAGGGCATCATTTCAGTGAAGTGGTCTTAAAAAGCTTTATATCTTAGATGGCTTATGTAATACAAATATAAAAGAGTCAGAGACACCTAGTATTATTACATAGAAGAATTACACACAACTCTGTGTGTGTGTGTGTGTGTGTGTGTGTGTGAGAGAGAGAGAGAGAGAGAGAGAGAGAGAGAGAGAGAGAGAATATTAACTCAGTCTTCCTGTTGAAGTACAGTTTAAGATCTTTGACTCAGTAAGGTAAAAATGCCATATCATTCGCCAACCCCCAAATTTTAGATCTCTTACAAGTCTAGGGAACAGTGTTAGTTATTACAAACGTTACGTGCAAATGTATCTCACATACAACAGCAAAACACTGACTTTGTCAGGGCTCACAGATTAATACCAAAATCTCAAGTAGCAAGACTGTCCAGATGGCAGATTACTGTCTATAAAACACTAAGGCCAGAGTTATACCCTTTTTACAGAGGGTGGATTGAGTCTCTGGAGGCCCATAAGCATGCATCATAAGCAGGTATCAGTAGCTAAGGGAACTATAGAAAAACGTTAGCAAGCTCTAACACAGCATGGAAAAGTTCCATTGTTTTCTGAAAAGAACAAAGTCATGTGCGCTTCTGTGACTGTGAGTGTGCTGGATGGTTTTATGTCACCTTTACACAACCTAGTGTCATTAGAAGAGGGGTTCTCAACTGAGAAAGTGCTTCCCTAAGATCTCCCGGTAGAATATTTTTTCAATTGATTATGGGAAAGGGCCCAGTTCATGGTGAGTGGTCCCATCCCTGGGCTGGTGGTCCTGGGTTCTATAAGAAAGCAGGCTGAGCAAGCCATTGGGAGCAATCCAGTAAGAAGTACTCCTCCACAGCCTCTGCATCAGCTCCTGCCTCATTCCTGCCCTGTTTGTGTTCCTGTCCTAACTTTCTTTGATGATGAACAGCAATATAGAAGTGTAAGCTGAATAAACCTTTTCACCCCATCTTGTTTTTGGTCATGGTGTTTTGCCACAGCAATAGAAACCCTAACTAAGACAGTGGGGGATGATAAAAATGAAAGCTAAAAATGGGCTAGAAAGTTTAGAGAGATAAGGGTCTTGATTTGTATCCTTGGCCCAAAGCCAAAAATGTCCTTTGTCCTGTCTTGGCTGAAGGCAAGAAATGCCAAAAATATTTGGAGGCCCTTGTTCCAAACCTTTAGGTTTGGTTCTTAAATAACTTTAGGGTTTTGATTCTTGAAGTTGGGAAACAAGGATTAGTGGCCTTGGGAGCCATTGAGAAAGGGTCTCATCTCCTGTAAACCCAATAACAGCAGAAAGGCAAATATCAACTTTGCTACTCTCCTCAGGATCTAAATCACTGTATAAAAAAGTGGAGATATCTGGGCTTTGTTTAGGCTCATTACAGCAGAACTACTTCCTTCTGCTTAAAAGAATCAATTCCTCTGAGGTACACGGGGTTTTGGGGTAACCTGAATCGGTGCTCCTGGCCTTAGTCACTCATATTTGAAAGTCCCTGGATTCCTGTGACTACAGCACATGAACAACTGATTGGAACTTCAGAGAGAGAGCGGAGAGGTTGAAGTTAATACAAGGCTGACTAAGAAGAGAAAATATCTTTACATGAATGTGAGGATTTTCACAAGAAAGCCAAGTGTGAAGACATGGCCAAAGCATGACGTTTTTAGACTTTTTACACACAATACAGTAGCCTGTAAAGCCTGGTGTGACACAGATCGCTGGACTAGGGGCAGTAAATTCTAGAGATGCCAATAGAAGATATCTAGCAGCCCATAAAAGCAGGAGGGAAAAAAGTTATTTATTCCGGCTCAGGACAGCCCAGGTGCTGGTGTCTTGTGACAAGGTCATTTGGTGTTGTGTGGGGAGAACACTCCTTCCTATGGAACATTTATGGCTTACTGCATGTAGGAAAAGATGACCGGATGGCTCTTTCTGAAGCTGTCAGGGAGGTGCGGCCTTTTGGACATTGTGTCATGATGTTATCATCTGCAGTTTACGATGGAGAAACCATCGATTAGAAAAAAATAAATCTCACATGAGAGAAATCTCACGTTTTAAGTAAGTTTATGTTTCTGTGCTGGGCTGCTTTCATAGTGGTCCTGAGACTGTGTGCTTGGGCACACACCTGCGACTCTTTCCTGCAGGGACTCCTAATGACCAGTGTGCCATTTTGGTGCATTTTGAGATGGCCCATGCTCATCTCCTTTAGTAGGATGTAGATGCCAACAGCTTAACTGAAGCCTCTTTTTGAAAGAGAGAGAGAGAGAGAGAGAGAGAGAGAGAGAGAGAGAGAGAGAGAGAGAGAGAGAGAGGCTTTGAAGAGAATGAGGGTGTGGGCTGGGTGAGGAAAGCCTATTGCTAGTCAACAGCTCTTCAACAAGTAGAGCAGTGGGGCTTGTCAGGCTGGCTGTCACAGTGGAAGGTCAGGGTAAAGAGGGAGCTGGGCACATAGAACCTTCCAGATAGAAGCTTCTAGATTGCTTGAAGGACTCCCCTGTGAGCCAGCAGAAGGCTCTATGAAGGATGGCAAGATCTACTTAACACTGTAACAGAACAGTCTGGGCAGCTTTGTTGAGGAGACATAAGGACAGCAAAGGGAGTGGAGCCTCAGCAGTGACTCAGGGAAAGACAGCATCTTTCCAGGTAATACATGCTTCCTGGCACCAGGGAAGTGGATCAGTGAGGAGCTCCAGTTCACAGGCTAGGGTCAGGTAGGCGACATCAGAGGGGGTGCGTCCTGAAGTAAGGAACCTGCCCCAACAGGCTTCTATTGGAAAATAGGGATTCAACTCTTTACCCTCACTTACAGGGATTTCTGGACAGGCAAGCAAGGCTGTCCTTTTGTGTCAGCTGAGAAAGGTAAGAAACAGACTTACAATGGCTTTACCAAACAGGAATTTATTTTTATTTACAAGGATTTTGGAGATGGAGAGCTGTTGGCACTTGCTTGGTCAGACGATCACAGGGTTTATGGATTTTTTGGCCTTTTCCTCAGGTAAAACATGGTTGCTAATGGTCCAGGCATTGCATCCTCAATCAAGAAGGGAGAGGCAAAGTGAGGATCTCAGAAAAGGCATGGGTTTTTCTAGTAGCTCCTGTAGGCTTTCACTTCAATTTCATTGGCCATACCTGGTCACATGCTCACCCAAACCTACAGAGGAGGCTAGGAGAATGATTATCTAGGTTTACACTCTCTGGTGGAAGGCAGCAAGAGAGACGGAATTTGGACTAACAGATTCACAGAGTATCAAGGCAGCTACTATGGCTTCCCTGGAAGACTTGCCTTGAGGTCTCTTGTGCTTTTGGGTGTCTTCTCCATGACTTGCCATTTCTCTGGGGACTGCTAAGTCCCTGGGTGGTCCTACTCTATCCCAGATGGCCTGTCCTGCTCTTCTTTACATGTCAGAACAGCTCATGTACCTGTAAGGTGACAACCCCCAACCCTCTCTTTATTTAGGAAACACACACCTTCAGCACAATACCTCACCAGCAAGTACTTAAGACAGCTTCACTGCCTTTAAACCAACATTTCCCAACCTGGGGGCTGTGACCCTTTCATGGGGGGGATCGAGTCACACATCAGATATCCTGCATATCAGATATTTACATTATGATTTTTAATAGTAGTAGTAGTTATGAAAAAGCAATGAAAATTATTTACAGTTGGGGGGTCACTACAACATGAGAAACTGTATTAAAGCATTGCAGCATTAGGAAGGTTGAGAACCACTGATTTAGACTTTTAGAGTTAGAAAACAGAGAGAGGGAGGGAGGGAAGGAGGGAGAGGGAGAGGGAGGGGGGCGGGGCGCGAGCGAGAGAGAGAGAGAGAGAGAGAGAGAGAGAGAGAGAGAGAGTCTCTTTACACATTTATGCAGGCACCATCCATAAGGAAGAAACAGAATCTCCATTCACTATCAGATCTTGCTGGCCTTCCCACCATCATTTCCTGGAGGCAGAGCCACTGGCGCCCCAGCAGGGAAATCTGCCATCTGAGGAGTGAGAACCTCTGCTTGTCTGGCAGTGCTGTTCCCACCTGAGAAAGGCTTAAAAGCTAGTCATGGATTTCATTCTTCAGGGGAAAGGATTCAGGTCTGGCTTGCTCTATAGATCTTCAAAAATGGCATAGGAGCAAAAGATTCAAGTATTTGGGTGTTGTGGATGAAGGGGCTGTTGAGAAGGATGGGTGGGAAAGACCCAGACTGGGGGAGAGAAGGAGGGGTCTCAGGTAACAGTGCTGGCAATATTGACCTAAGAGTCCATTCCATCACCATGGCATTGGAGTCTTCAAACTACCATATTATTTTTTCCAGAGGAAATCGTATAGTTGCTTTCCAAAAAGCTGTGGAAAGCTAAGGTTCTTTTCCCCTTCTTTTTGGCTAGAATTGTATGATAGTGTTTTTATACCAGTAAAAAATAAAGATTGGCTGTTATAATCTCCTGACCGGGTCAAGGGTTCGTGTGTGTGTGTGTGTGTGTGTGTGTGTGTGTGTGAATGAAGGACTTGGGGGGCTTCAGAGGAGGCAGTGGGAACCTCCAGGCCACCAGGGAGCCAAGAGAGTTAGATATTTCTAATTTACCACTCTTGGGTGCTTTAGTCTAGTTCTATGCTCAAACCCATGTCCTGGACCACCCCCGGGAGTGGGTTAGACATATGTCTTCCAGGGACTGTTCACAGGACTCTCTGATTTGTATATACAGTAAACTTGGCAACATGCTGTTCTAGGCTGGAAGCCGGAGCTCTGAGGTGAGGTGTGGTTAGTAATTTGGGGGGGGGGACAGTGGGGAGGAGAAATAAAAGCCATGAGGCAAGCTGGCAAGGCCTAAAGCTATTTTGCTTGGGATCCTTCTCACCTGGCCACAGCCTGCCGGGGCCTCCCACGCCCTTCCTTGCTACAAACATCTGGTGCCTTTTTGCTCACTCTGTGATTTCTAAACCAGGTGCCCTCGGCCTCAGGGTAAGCCAGAGTTGATGTGTTCCCAATGCTCGGAGCTGAGCTGCTCCAAGAAGTAGGCCTTATTGGGCAACTGAGGCGGAATGGAAGGATACCTGGCCCTCTTCCTCACTTCTGCTAGGGAAATCTCAGTGAGTCAGATCAGGGACGGCACCTCCAGAGGTCTCTCCTGGCAGTGGCTTCCTCTCTGGTACAGGAAGGCCAGCTGCTCAGAAAGAAAAGTCTAGAGACTTTCTTGTGGGTTATGCGGGTGAAGGTGTCTTCAGCTTCCCAGGGATAGCTGGCCTTTCAGGTGTGTCTAGCTGGCATTGTTGTAGGCTAGGGTCCTCAGGTTCAGGAAGGCTGGAGGAGGGCTGGGCCAGAGTGAGTGGCAGGAGCTGAGTGGAGGAACGCTACAGTGTTCTCTCTTCGCTGGTCAGTGTGGTGATTCTGCGCAGGTTTTCCCGGACTTTGATGAACTCAGGGGATGGGTCCACGTCTTTCTGTGGTGGGTTTTCCAGCTGTAGCAGAGAAACACAAGGAGTGAATTTGGCAGGGTTGGTTGGGGTTGGGGTGGGGTGGGGTTCCTATTCTCAAAAGCCATGGCGTTGGACCAAGGGTCCTGTCAATGTGGAAAGTCTGGGATGGGTTTTACAAATCATCATCAAGTTTGGTTGTGTATCAGGAGAGTAGACATTTGAAAGAGAGTCATAAAGATTAACCTGAACAAAAAAAAGAATCTACCATCACTTCAGAAAACATTATCAAAACAGTACCCATGAGGAAATCCCACTATCTCCGAATACGGGGGAGAAGGTGATGTGCAAATGACCTCTCAAGGGTCAGGCTGCTTGGCAAATGACCTCTCAAGGGTCAGGATGCGTGCAGCCTGGGGCTTTGAGCTTGGGCATGTTCCAGCTCTGTAGCCCATATCCATTCTGGAGAGTGCTTTCCTTTTCCTTTATGTACCTTATCTCTGCCACTCTCCATGTCCCCAGCCAGCCCTACCAGGACTCAAGAACCCGGATATCTCAGTTTACCCACATGGGTACAGTAAGAACCGAATTTCCTTGGTTCAAATCATTTCTTCCTCTGGCCTCAGACCTTCCCGCCTATGGAACAGAAATGTCACCTGCTTTCAGGGCAGGGATGAGCAGCGGATCTAACTTGCAGGATATAGACCTTATAGGAAAGCAGAGGGTCAGAGAAGTGATGGCACGGGACTAGAGTCACACAGCTGGGCAGAGGTAGATTCTTGATCCCATGCTGACCTTCCTCTTGGAGGGGCCTCAGACTGGAGCCGGGTACCTCCTACCCACCTGGTTCAGTCTCTGCTGCCGTCTCAGCAGCTCCTGTTTGAAGGGGCACTGCATCCGCTTGGCCTCCAGCTCCTCTTCCTTCTTTTTGATCAGCTGATTCCTGCGACGGTGCTCCAGGACTCGCTGCAGCTCAGGCTTGCTGTCCATACCCAGGCCCCTGGAGGGTGAGGGGAGCTGTCAGGAGACTCTTTGCTAGCGGGGTCTGACTTTTCCCGGTGACACCAATCCCTGCATTATCTCTTAGAGTGTTTGGGAAACACCGGAAGGGGGCGCTCTCACTGACCCATACTATGTAGAAAGGCAAAGAGGCCCGCCTCCCACGACACAGCAGGGCAGGTGCAGGTACAGCAGTTGAGTGAGAATTTCAGAGTAGGCTTCGGAGACTAGGTGTCACGTAGTTGCTGGATATTTTACTAGAGCTTCTGATGTCGGAAATGCTGGCCTTCGCTCTGATAAAATCTCATGGGAATTACTTTTCTTACAAGAATATCTATTTATCCCCATTTTACAAGCCAACTTTTTCAAGTCTAGGAGACAAAAGACAATGCCTGGTTTTCATGCTTCCTTGATTATCAGTCACATATGTAACGGCCTTTAAAGTGTTTCTAGCATTCGCGTCTTCCCATTTGCATATTAATCCCTCTCATTTTGTTGACTCTTTCCTTGTAGACTATAGTACACAAATATATGAATATTTTATACTATATATTTAATCTTCAATATAATTTATTTAATTGCAAATATTTCAGTTTGCCGGAAGCTGTTTTTCATCGTGGTGGTATTTTTGATACTAAAATGAATGACTATTGTGGGAACGTGATGATGTTGTAATATTAATAGAAAACAAACCCACAAACAGCCCCACGTGCAAGGGGTATCTTTCGTGTGACTTAGAATGGAGGTCACGCCAGCTGCAATACCACAACCAGCCAGCAGAGGGTGCCATGAAGCTACCACCAGCTTCAGCCAAGCCAGGAGATCAGGATCCTCACAACGGATCCTCAGCCTCTCCTACATGTGACATCCTGCGATCGCTGATCACAGACGTGCCATAGCCCAGTTTCCCCCTCGGCTCTTTTGCTGTCCCCGAATGGAGGGCATGCCTGAGAAAGAGCCATCACTACCCCGATAACTTCTCTGCAATATCTGAGTGCTCTCTAGTTTTCCCTGCCAACACGACCCAGCTCCCACCAGGGTTGACTCTTGTCCCTGCTTTAGGCCTTTTAGATATCATCTTTTCCATGAAGTCATATAGATAGTTCTCTAGCCCAGTAGTCCCTCTGGGGTCCCATATTCATTTAAAGCTTCCAACAACTTTTATTTCCCCTGGGGAGGGCAGAAACTGGGTCTCCATTTTTTGTATCTTAGATGTGGGCGTGGTGCCCTGCACACACTAGGTATTTAGTAAATCTATGTGGCATCTAAGCATACAGCAAGTGGATAGGGCTTTAAGGTCCACACTTTTTCTTCTGGTGACCTTGTTGGGGCTCTGGGCAATGGCTAAACCAGTCCTCCTAAGAAGCATTTCCCCAAGTCCAGCAGGCTGTGCAGGATATTGCTGGGCCAGCCATCTGGGTGCTGTCTTACCTTTTATGGTTCATAAGCAGCTCACGGTGCAGCTCCTGATGGCTTCGAGAGGCCTTCACAGGGTTCAGTAGCTTCTTGGGTTTGATGAGTTCTGAATTCCAGTCTCTGTACTCTGGCCGGGCCATGAGTCCCTCAATGTCAGCCCGTTCCCTCTGGATCTCTGAGTACATGGAGGCTGTAGTGATGGGAAGTAATGTTACTTCAAATATGTCCACATCCCAGCCCACCCTTTGGGGCACAGGCTAATGGGGGCTTTCTCACACGGACAGTGGTTTCTGAGCAACTTGGGTAAGCTACCTGACCAGCCAAGTCCTGCTTCCTTCCTCTCTACTGTGGGAAAAAGTCATTCCACCAAGGTAAAAAGCTTGCTGTGATTACTGGAGGTGATATTTGTCTGGGAGGTGGGGAACAGAAGTGAAAGGAGACCAAGGCTCCCGGTGTAAGCTCCCAGTTCTGTAACTGGGGAGATGTTTCATTCATGAAAGAGTCTGCAATGTGAACATAACGACCTGATTTAGATTCTCAGAACCCAGGGAAAAGCCTGGCATGATGCTGTGTGCTGGGAATTCTAGCACCGCAAGGTAGAGACATGGGGAGCTCACTGGCCACTCTATTATCCTAATCAGTGAACTTCATGTCCCAGTGGGAGATCCTGTCTCAAGATGCAAGGTAGACAGTGCTCGAGGAATGACATCCAAGGGTGATCTCTGGTCTCCACATGTATATGCGCACATGTATACCTTTATATACAGACAGACAGACAGACAGACAGACAGACACACCCAAAGTGTATATAACTATATAGTCACTGGGTGTGCTTGATAGATTTGTAGCAACATGACACAAGTAGCTAGAGTCCTCTGGTGGGGTGGGGTGGGGTAGGGTGGGGTGGAGTGGGGGGATCTCGATTGAGAAAATGCCTCTGTAAGAACAGGCTGGAAGCAGGCCTATAGGGCATTTTCTTAATTAGTGCTTAATGTGGAAGGTCTTAGCCCATTGTGGGTGGTGCCATCCCTGGGCTGGTAGTCTTGGGTGCTATAAGAAAGCAAGCTGAGCAAGCCATGAGGAGTAAGCCAGTGTGTCACACCCCTCCATGGCCTCTGCATCAGCTCCTGCCTTCAGGTTCCAGCTCTGTTTGAGTTCCTGGTCTGATTTCCTTTGGTGATAACTAGTGATGTGGAAGTGTCAGGCATATAAACCCTATCCTCTCCAAGTTGCTTTTGATCGTGGTGTTTCATCACAGAAATAGCCCTGACTAAGACAAGATACTGACAGAATAAAAAAAAAAATCCCAATAGCAAAAGGGGGTATGTTTGAGTTTCTGCTTTGCATAAGAAAAGGAAAAGGTATAAAGTGTGCGGGTGCAATCTGTAGCAGTTAAAGACAATTTGCATAAATGCTATGATAAAAGAAAACATCATCCCTTGTTCTACCCCCTAGTCATAGTTCTGATGTGTGGCAGGGACGCAGTTCCCTATTCTCCACACCAGAGGGTAGTATGTGAAATGCTGCTGTATCCCTGTAACAAACAGACGACTGCTGTCTGTCACACTCATGTGTCCCACTTCTACCAAGTATCAATGTACTTCAGATTTAGGCAGAAAGGCTTCTTTGCCACAGATAGCATCTGATACTTGAAAGGCTTTAGAGGGAGGGAAGGGGACAGGAGAGGTGGGGGGAAGAGGAGAGTGGAGGGGAGAGGAGAGTTCTATAAAAACAAGTCACAGTCACAGGGACAGCCACTGCCTGGCTGTTAGCGATTAGCAGTTTACAGTAATTACAGTGAATGTTAGGTGCAGATTCTGCTTCCCTCCTAGGCCTGGCTTTCAGGAGCACCCTAACCCCCTTCCTGACACAGGTCATCCTGTTAAGCCTCAGCTGGTGCTGGCTCTGTAGCTTCCTGTTCACCTCTGTAGTGCTAGCAGGACTAACCAGTGCATATGTCAGCCGGCCTGGCTGGTGGGCTTGAGCCTTTACTGTGTGGTGAACATAGGCAGTACCTAGTGTAATATGCAATGAGCACTCAATAATAGTGTTTGTTGGTAATTTGTGATAAAACTTTTGAGGTTTTGATCTTGGGGAACCAGAGGGCTAAGTTGGTTTCTATGTGGCAGCGGAGGTAGCATGTCCCCACGTCACACACACTGAGACTCCACATTCTCTGTCTCTCTCTCAGCCTAGGTGGTCCTGGACTTCTTACATGGTTGAGGATGACTTTGAATTCATAGTTCTTGTGCCTCAACCTCCAATTGCAGCAATGGAAAACAATTAACCATCCAAAGCTATTTTGGCGGTAGCCAGGTGACGTGTAAGAGTATCTGTTTCTGTAAAAACTGAAAACATTTTTCCATATAAAATATTCTGATCACACTTTCCCTTCCCCCCTCTCCATTCCACCTTCTCATCCACCCAACTCCATACCTTCTTTCTCTATCTCTTTAAAACACAAATGGACAAATTAAAAAATAAAGAACCCAACCAAATCAGAATAAAAACAAAGAAAAAAAGCACAAGAAACACATACGCTCAGAGACATGCATACACACAAATTAAAACCCATAAAAACACAGACACAGAAACCACAATACAGGAGCCAAAAACCAGTAATACACATACACACACACACACACATACACACATAGAGAGAGAGGGAGAGGGAGAGAGAGAGAGAGAGAGAGAGAGAGAGAGAGAGAGAGAGAGAGAGAAATTAATATGAGACAAAAACTACAGAAGCACCACTCATTTCGTTTCGCTCAGCCTTCAGTTGGCTATCTACTGCCGGCCTCCCTCCCTTAAGTGCACTTCATATACCCAGGAGATCCCACTGGGGAATACTAATTTTTCTTTTGCAAGCAGCTGTCAATTGGAGCTGGCTTTTTGATTAGAATGAGAGCTTGTATCCATTTCCCCTCTCACACTGGACCCTATCTAGCTTGGACCTGTGCGTGTATATGCCAGCATCTGCTTTCTATTGAATTAGCATTCTTAGAAGCACTTGGGAAATGAGAATTCTAATTATTTCCTCTCTCTCTTTCTCAAGAGGTTTCTCTTCTCAGGTTATATCCTATTTTTTTTTTTTTTTTGGTTCTTAAGAAAATTATTGTAAGGCACCCTAGTTATTTATTTGCTTTTGAGACAGGATCTTATGTAGCCTAGGCTGGCCTCAACATTGCTCTATAGCTAAGAACGACCTTGAACTTGTTGTCCGCTGCTCCAGGCCTATTCCACTGTGCCTGGTTTTAATCAGTGCTTGGAATAAAACCCAGGGCTTCATGCATTCTAGACAAGCACTCTACCAACTGAGCTACATCCCCAGACCTCTAGTAAGTGGGAACGTTAGAAAATTACCGTCTCCCTTCTTGCCCATTGAGAGTATAGTTTTTTAGTTGATGAGGTCATTTCTTCCGGGAGCCAATACATCAGAATGCTGTGATGCAAACTGTATCCTTAAGATCCTAGTCTACTCTGTTCCTGAGTTCTCTGATCTTTACATGAATCCTCTGTAGTACTTTCCATGTCTTCAGTTGTCATCTTGGCCTAGCTGTCAACACACCACACTTCTATGTCTCCCTTGACTGTCGTCTGGCTGTTCACTGTGCCCTCACCCTTTTTGGGCCCCAAGCTTCCCAGTGCAGAGCCCTTCTCATCAGTCACACCGTCTTCAGAAGAACTCATTGTATATTGCCAACATGCTAAGAGCGCAAACAGAAACAAGTTACATAACTTTTGGAGGGTTATATAAAAATAATATTAAAATATAGTATTATAATTATTTAATAAGAATATTTTAAAAAGACATACCTATATTTTCAGCGAAACAGTAGGAGATTCAGTTGTATGACCAGAATAAATGCACAGAATTAAGAGCCACTACATAATAGGAATGACCATTGAGGAAGTGTGTAGTAATCTACGGCATGCATTCCGCAGATACTTATATTCCTGTTGTTTTCCAGGTATTGTGGTAGCACTAGGTACACAGAGGGGAGCCTAGCAAGTGGGAGCCCTGCTCTAAAGATTACAAATGGCTCAGACAGACCTGTATAAAGGACAAAGTTCAGCCAGGTGCCGGGGAGGACCTCTCTGGGGAGTGGGGCTCATCAAGAGTAAAGGGGAGGCTGCTGTAGGACTGGGCAGCAGTCGTCTGGCTCCCACACCTTGAACAAGCTGCGTCTGTTCTGGGAACACAAAGGCACAACTGTGCCCAGCGTGGCAAGCTCTGGTGGTGGAGTGTTCACAGTGAGGGTGGACAGCTGGCTTCAGGTCCAGGAAAGGGCAAGGCAGACTGGATTTCTAAAAGGTCATGCCGGCTGCCATGGAGGGCATGGAATGAGCAGGCCTTAGGAATTTCTATTTCCTTCACTTCCAGTATGCTGCTTCTGTTTGCCTGTTAGTCTCCTGTTACATTCCAGAGAAACCTCAGCTTGGCCTGGCTGACCTCCTTCACCCCCAGACCACCCCCTCAGGAAGTTGTGATTTCCAGGGTGACTCTGGGAATACAAGTCTTGTCTGGCTTCAACCTTCTGTTTTCAGTCTTGAAATATCTCATACACCTTGGAGAGGAGCCTCCATTTTGTCCTGGGCCCTGCACATGGGGTCACCTCCACAACAGGTCCATCAGTGGCCAGCCCTGGCTTAAGGATCTCTCTGGGCTGTTCATTCTGTTTAAATTAAATCTATGATGTATGGTGGCAGGAGTCTCTGAGAGGGAGGCGGAGCTGGGGAAGTTTTTGCTTCTCTGAGTGCTGAACTCCAGCGCGCGCGTCTGTGTGTGTGTGTGTGTGTGTGTGTGTGTGTGTGTGTGTGTGTGTACGTACAGGACTCATGGGAGTCCTCAGGGTTCAAGAACTGCAAAGTGAGCCTTCTAGCCTTTTAATATGATAGGTGAGGCTTCTGTGTGAAAGGCCCTTGAGTACGTCCTGTCATGAAGATACTCTTCAAGGGAGGATTTGGAGCTGTGTGGTCACAACCTGCCTCACTGCAGGTGGCAGCCCTGGTTGCCAATAGGAGCCCTGAATCTTGACATCTGACCAGGTGCTGCTTAACTTCAAAGCAGAAAATAATCTGGATTATCCTGGAGGTCAGGTGGTGCTCCTGGGGTAGAAATCTGGGGTCACTCCGAAAGCTGCTGGGGTTCTGAGCAACCTAATACCATTCCGGGTGTGGTCATGATGAGGCAGCAAATTGAGCATCAGAAAGAGCAGCGCTGAAAGAAACAAGCTGGCAGGGGAGAGGAAGGGCTGGTAAAAGAGGAGTTATGTGGCTTATAGCTTTAAGGGAGACTTAGAAGTATTTGACATTCACATCTGGGTTTGGATTTTAGCTCTGTCCTCATACCATTGAAGATTTCTGTACAGGAGTCTGATGATGTTTGACACATCATTGAAAGTTTCTGTACTGGAGTCTGATGATGCTTGCAAGGCTCTTGGCTAGCTCTGAGTTGAAGGTTTTGTGCTGGTTCCCAAGGTTGCCACAAATAGCAATGCAGTTCGTGAGTTGCACTCTCAGGCCTCAACTCTCGTAGATTAAACTATGAATAGTGGCCTAGAATTGCAGTGTGGCCACCTCATTAGCTGCTGTTGCTGCTGAATACATCCTGGTCCTAGTCTCTTATTTTCCTTAAAACAGGAGAAATTAGTTAAGTCGTTAGATATTAACCTTGGCTACATGTCGGGGTCTTCAGGGGGCATTGAATCCTACCTTAAGAATTCCAATTCAATTGGCTTAGGAGTTCAGTCTTTGAGTGGGTTGAAAACTTCTGGGTGATTCAATAGTCAGCTGATTTTGTAAAGCAGGAGGAAGGGGGCCAGGAAGCATTCAAGCCTCTTTGCTCTGACTGAGTAACTCTAGCTGGCTGTGGCTGGCGCTCATCACAAGCAGGTCTGGTTCATGGATACTTCTAAGGTCTTTAACCCAGACATCCTCCTCTGGAGAATCACGGTGTTTGAAGACTGAGGAGCCTCTATTGGGCATGGAACTCTGGGGCCAGAAGGTGTTGGCTAAATGAGTGGCCTGCATATCCCTAAGAGGGTGGGAGGGCCATGAGGAGAAGAGTACAGAAGAGAGACTGGGTCTTCTCATTCTCCACAGGTTTTGCTGGTGACTCAAAAGGTCCCACAGCTCCTTCCTAAAGACTGAGTCTGGTTCTGGGTGTGCACAGCCTGGTTGGAGCAGTTAGCTTTGATACCAATCCTTGGTCCCTTCCTGGGCAGTGAGGGGAGAGCCAGAGGAGAATGATACTCTTGCTGCAGAGTCAAGTTTATACTGAGAACAGCTGTGGGAGCTGGCTACTGCTCAAGGTCCTTTTACTTCCTCCACCCTCCATCCCTTTTGGCAAGGTTTCACATATCCAAGGTTGGCTTCAAATTTGCTACATAGCCAAGGATGACCTTAAACTCTTGATTGCCCTGCTTCCACCTCCCAAGGGCTAACATTATAAGTATAGCCACCATGTCCCACTTATGAGGTATCAATGATCAATTTCTGGGCTTTGTGCATGCTGGGTAGGTTCTGGGCTGAATCATTAGCTTTGACTATGATCTTCATGTGCCTTCTGACTGCATTCCCTCTATCTTTGATGTTCTTCTTGTGTTTCTGATGCATCAGTTACAACAAATAGTAAAGTCCAGTAAAGTGTTCAGAGGATAAAGCAAAAGAGACCAATGTAACCATGATCTTAGCTTGTGTGACCCCTGGCAAACAGTTCATGCTCTCTTCAGCCTATGACCAGTGGAGGTCATGGCAACCTTCCCTACCCTAAGGTCTTTAGGCTGTGAGATGGTGTGGTATGCACACTGTACTTTGTATACTACCTGGCTGAGTAAGCTCCAGCTAGCAAACTGTAAGCTTCTTGTCCTGCACATTTTGGAGTGAGCATGGGACTTGGTCTGAATCTCATGATTATCTTGAAGGCAACTCATTTCTTAGTTGAGGAAATCAGGGCTTATTAAGGTAAGATACACATTGAGTACTTAGCAAAGCCAGGATCGTTGGACTCCAAACCTAGTACTCTTTCTACCACAATACTGTCTCCTAGGAATGGCGTGTTTTTGCTCTCTCTGTATACTCAAGAAACCCTATGGAAGAGACAGTTGATCCCCTTTGCTGGCTGAGAACAAGAAGGCCAGAGAACCAGTGAGAAATGCAAACAGTGCTCTGCTGCTTGAAGCAGCCTTTCCTGTCAGGCCTGTGGTCAGATGTCACACACACACACCCATCCCCCCTCCAAACTTTTCTGGTTCAGCATCAGCAGGCCTAGAAGGGAGGCTTTGAGAAGCACTGGCAAGAGAAGGAGAAACATTCAGAAAAGTGACAAGCTGGCTGCCACATGTCCTGCTTGCCCTTTCCTCCCTGCGGGTGGTATGCATTTGTAGCTCACTGGCCAGTAACCCAAGAACATATTTGGCGACATTTCTCGGTCTCCCTGCAGACTCAGGCTAACCTTCTTCATCTTGGAGCTACCTGTCCATTTGGGCAAGAGGGCTCCAGACTACTGTAGACTAGCTTCCTCAACTCTTTGTCCTGGTCCCCTGGAACTGTTTAACCAGTAAGAAGAAGGGTTAGGTTTCAAGGGGGAGGCATATAGGGTCCTTAGCAAGGTTGGGGATTGTGCCATGCTGTTGAGCAGGAACCAGCATGAGCATACTGCCACACTGCTGCCCTTGTGATCTGATGCCAGCTGTTCCACCTGGCAGCTGGCTCAGGGAAAAATCACAGCAGGGGTTAGCACACTTCATGCTAAGAAAGCCATCAGGATTCAAGCTGCCCAGAATCCTATGTGTAGGGATTGTCTCAAATTTAGAGGCCATCCCACTTATGGCAGCTTCCTAGTGACAGGCAATCCCCTAGTGCCTGGTTTCTCTAATCCGAGACTGGCCATGTACTACATGATGAAGCCAAGTCCATTGGCAAGGTGAGAATTACCCATTGCCTGCACTCCTAGCACAGGCTGGGTACTATGTTATGCATCTAGTCCCTGACTCACAAAACTCTCAATAAACTGAGAAGGTAGGCAACCCTTTATTAAGAACAAACCTCAGAGAGGTCATCTGATTACTCCAGATCACATAACCAGTGTATGAGGCAGCCAGAATCTGAGTTGAGCTCTGGTGCCCAAACCCAAAGCTGTGCTTTTCTCATTGCATACAGAACATGGACTATCTGTTGATTCTGTCTATCTGTTTACTATTAAGTGAACCCTCCTTGCTGACCCTACATACCCCTACTGTATGATAATGGGTTTAAGAGAGGCTGTAGCAGATGTTAAATTCCTCTCAGTATTTACAAGCAAAAGGTCAACCAGATTGCAGAGATGTAACTGAGAGCCTACGTAATCCCCATTTCTCACCCCCACTTTATATCCCTACGTCATCACACCCCAGTGAGGCAGGGTCCCAGTACCTAAATTTTGAAGGGTTCAGTTGCTGGGACAGCTTGCTCTGATGCTCCTAGGTCATTCTCCTTCTTTCCACCTTTTCCCGGAACACACTCAGCCTAACAGCATATGAAGCAGAATAGATCAGAGTCTTACTTCTCCACAGGTCCTGAGCTGTGAGCTCCTCTGCAGTGCCCGGGCTGCTAGCTCCTCTGCAGGTCTCAGACTTAGGGAGTGCTAAGCAGGTCCCAGATGACTGAGGCAGCCGCCTCCATAGGGCGGGCCTTAAACCCCCAAGATGGGAGGCAGTTTTGCATTCCCATTTATTCTGATATCAATAAAAAAGAACTGTTGCTATAGAAACCGTTATTTCACTTGGTGAGTGGCCATGTCCGAGACTCAGAACACCATGTCCAAGCCACCCTGATTGAGAGGCACAAATAAATACATGTTTTGTCAGATTGATGAGGCATAAGAATCATGCCAAGCTTTGTTCTGAACTAGGCGGCTCCTGGCTTCTGTGGAGGAATTTCCCTTGTTTGTATGGGAGGGGATTTCAACACTTCCCCAAAGCGGGGTGGGGGGGTTAGAGGGGTGGGGGGTAGGGGGAGGGAACCATGCTTCCTGCTGCAGTGAGGGATTCTTTAGAACTTGGCTCTTGAATACTAGCAGGGAGAGAACTATATCTTGAGTCAGTTCTTGGCAATCCTTCAGGTATAGGTGTAAGAAACACTATGAAATGAAGTGGTCATCTACATATGAGTTGAGCATCTGGGCATACAGGGTAGCGGTGGCACACACTTTAATCTCAGCATTTGGGAGGCAAAAGGAGGTGGATCTCTGTGTTTGAGGCCAGCCTGGTCTAAAGAATGAGTTCCAGGACAGCTAGAACCACACAGAGAAACCAAATCTCAGACAAACAAAAAAACAGGCTTCTCATAATTGACTTTATACCTGAAACTTCCACAAAAGTTTCAGCAGGGTGTAGAAGCCCAGGAAAAGGGTAGTGGATAGAATTTGTACCCAGCCTTCCCTACTCTGATCTGAGTTCTTTCTGTACTTTGGCTTTCCTGTCTGTCAGCTGAGGGAAACAATGTGTCACCTCAATGAGATGGCGTCTGCACATGGAGCCTGCAGATAACTGTCATGTGCTAAAGGCAGGGCCCCAACATGCATGCTTGAGCCTGGCCACAATGAGGATGTGTGCAAATAAAAGCTGAGGACGTGGGCAGAACCCTGAAGCCAATCTAGGTGCTTGAAGATCAAAGGCCTTCTCTGCATCTCTGAATTAGCTTCACTTGAGCATTGGGTCTTTTCTGGCTTTTGGGATTATTCCCTGTCCCCGCACTGAGGAAACTGGCCCCTGCCAGTGAGACTAGGCCTGGACCCCAGTTTACTTTCTCATGGAGTGTTGGTTGGCCAAGAGCGATGAGGTCCAGGACACACATGACAGGTAAGTAGACACATTCCACATACTGTTTTGGGTTCTTTTAGCCATAGGATCTGTTCATTTACTCAACATCTAATATATATAAGTAATTCCTGGCATGACCTAAGTGGGCACGTGATAGGAAGGAGATAGAGACAGACAGTAGTATCCCTGTCCTCAGCGAATCCACACTCTGTGTGTGTGTGTAACGGTGTCAGCCAGTGATGTATGGCTGTGTAGAAGAATGAGTGAGGGAAGGGCAGTGGCTGGAAGCTTGCAAGGGTGGGCACAGCAGAGGCTGACTCACAAGGAGTTGGTCATTGCTTATATGGGACAGAATTTTAGGGTGAGCACAGACTCTAGAGTCCAGACTCTAGAGTAGGAACGAGCTGGGAATGATAGAGGAAGGCCAGTAGAGCTGCAGGGGGCATGGAGGCAGATGGTGGAATGGCCTGGAAAAGGGAGATGCGGGAGGGTATTTGGAGTGGACCATTCTGAGTCCACAGAAACTTAGCGTCGCACATTCTCGGGCATGAGACAATGTTCTAGGAACAATGTGTAGCTCTCTATGTCTACTGCTTCCAAGTCTGCCTTTCTGGAAATTCCTAGAATGGTGGCCTCCCCCGGCTTCCCACCCTGGCTGCTCCATTTTACTCAACTCTTCCGGCTGAATAAGATGACAAAAGTCTTGTCAAAGGCCCGGGGTGTATCTCAGCTGTAGAATGCTTGCTTAGCACACAGGAAGCCTTGGGGTCTATCTCCAGCACTGTATAAAGCTGGGTTTGGTGGTTCATACCTGTAATCCCAGATGGTCTACAAGTCAAGACAATCCTCAGCTCCAAAATCAGTTCAAGGCTAGCCTGAGCCACATGGAATTGCATTTAAAAATCAAAACCAAAGACTCGTCAAACCACTATTGCTGTGCCTGCTTCCTTCATCTTATTGCATAGAGAAGGAATTGGGCATGTCGTGGGGTATTAGGTGGCTCATCAGAACTGACCTTGGTGGCTTCTGACAGCCAAGGATCTAAAGGCTCTAAGTAGGGACTCTGACAGACAGCTTCTACCCATGTCCAGAAAAGACAAGCCCACATCCCAGTCCTTTCTAGAGGAAGTGGCTCTGAGAGTCCCCATACTGGCCACTCCTTGTTCTAGAAAGTCCTGGTAGCAGGTCCAAGACAACAGATGGCCAAGGACAGTTAGGCAAGAAACCTGAAGCCAAGGTGTCACTTTCTCTGTATAGCCATAACTCTCTCTGTTGCTTCAACCAAGGCTTTTGCCATAGCCCAACCTGGGTACAGACCCACAGGCTCACCCACTAGGCTGACAGCTCAACATCAGGGGCCTTGCCTTATTCTTATCTTGACTTCTGTCCCGGTACTGAGATGCTTGCTATGGATTAGACATGAGGTATTCCTTACTAAAGTTCAGTGCTGAAGGCTTACTCTCCACATGAGCTATGATGGCCTTAGCTTCAGCAATAGATCAATGTACTGATGGTGTTACAGTTAACAGGCTATCAGAAGTAGGTCTCTGGGAGGGGGTGACTTTGGGTACATTTTATCCCTGTCCTGCACCCTTGGACTTCATGTGGTAAACACTCCCACCATGTTTCTGTCTTGTCATGAGCAATGGTAGCAGTGCTCAGAAACTACAGCTGACTTGAAGACATCCAAAGTATGCACACCAAGAACTTGCTGCAGCTCTTCCTGTCCTGTGTGAGTGCTCATGACACTGCATAGGAGATGGGCAGTCAGAGACACCACGTTCAAACCACAGCTGTCCACAGGAGAGATTGTAGCACCTTACATGGGGTGTAGCCAACCAGAATATCAACCTGTAAAGGAGGTCCCCTACATGGTAGGGAAAACATGTAGTATAATCCCCTCCCCTCTTTTTAGATGCATACATAGAGAACCCATTTCTATGCAAACAAATCTGTTAGCAGTGGTCAGTGATCAGTTCTAGGAGAACAAATCTCAACTGTCATAGCTAGGGATCACTGGAGTGTGCAACACAGAAACATCGGGATATGCTCATAGATTACCATATCAGAACTTTTGATGGGAGCCTAGACAGGGAAGTGTGTGTGTGTGTGTGTGTGTGTGTGTGTCTGTCTGTCTGTCTGTCTGTCTGTCTGTGTTTCTGAGGCTCAAAAACAGGACCTTGGGCATGCTACATAAGTGATTTACCACTGAGGTCCTCCCCGGCCTAGGAATAGGGATTTTGGGATTTCATATACCCCCTCAGGAATCCTTGGTATTAACATTTGAGAACTACTCTTTGATAAAATAAAAGTATAAGTCCTTGTTCTCTTGTTACTATTCTGCAATGTTTGTGGCTTAATAATGAAAAAACCCATTTATACATTGCTTTTTGTTGTCATAGGAAAGCAGGAAGGCCACAAAGCATGGGGAAACCCAGCTCTTCCAAGCACCTGTCTTGAAAGTCCGTTTGAAATCTTCTGTGTGACACCTATGTTCGTTTGTAATATGGAAGAACAGGGACGCTTGAGCAAATGAACCTGTCAGGAGAGTGGTCCAGAAATCTTCAGGGTTCAAGGTGGAGCCGCTGCCTTTCTGCCCAAGCTGTTCTCTGAAATGAAGAGCTTTAGCAGCCTATGGGACAAAATTCTCACTCAGCCCCATAGTGGGCTGGGGACTGAAGGAGACTGTCATGGCTCCCTGACACACTCACCCTTGGCTTCGGGAAGCATGAGAGGAGAGAGTCCTGAAGACCAGGGAAGGCAGAGCTGAGTGCGGGGGGGTGGGGGGTGGGGGGGGGCATTTCCTGCTGTTGTGCAGGGAAACCCTTCCAAACAGTTTTCCTTTCTTCTCGGCTTAGTTTACTTCAGTCCAGTAGTGACAAAAGCAATTCAGATGGGCCCGCAAACATCAGAGAGGTTTCCACAGCAACTTGAAACTTCTTCCTTGACCCTGTGTTTTGGAGTCTCAATCTCCAAAGAAGCCCACAAAACAGTCCCTGGATCAAACTGGCTGCCTCTCTGGCCACTCTGGACATACTTTGCTGAAAGGACCTTGGGGCAGGGGAAGGAGCTAGCTGGCAGAGCTTGCCATGGGCCCACAGAGAGACTGTAAATTGGCTAAGAGTTGCCTTTCCAAGTTTGAACTGGGAAACATTTACTCCCCCTCCCCCCCACCGAAGGGATTTCAAGCGTGAATACAGGAAGTGGGGCAGGGCAGCAAGAACCAAGAGTCTTTTTTTTTTTTCCTGAAAGCTGGCTCTGAACCTGCTGCCATTGGTGTAATGAATTTGGTCTCTAAGAGTGATCTTACCCTTATTTTACTTTTCTTGCTGTGAGTCAAATCAGGATATAGTCTCATGGTCTCATGTTCCCTCCTCTCCTCCCTCTCCCTCTCCCTCTCCCTCTCCCTCTCCC